CCCGCCGCGCCTAGGGGTCCGCCCTGCGTCCGCCCGGCTCCCTTGGGGCAGGGCAGGGGAGGGCGCGCCCCATCCGAGCGGGGCCTGGGCCTGGAGGGCGCTTGGGCCTGTGGCCTGGGCCTGGGCCTGGGCCTGTCCCTTCATGGTTTCATTCGATGCTTCTCCCGGCGGGGCGAGGGGCCACTCTGTGTCGTCCTGCCTTCAGCCTGGGCCACTCTCGGGCCTGTGAAATGGTCCGAGCTGTGATTTCCCCTGGCTCTGCTGCCTTCTGCACTGCCCCAGTTTATGGCCTTCGTTCCCTCTCTTCTTCAGCACCACTTCCCCCCAGTGAGACTGCTTGAAGAGCCAATTCTTTGGGGTCTGCAGGTTGAAAAACAGCTTTAGCAGTGAGGCGGGTGTCGTCTGAGGCCATCTCCTGGTATCCGTCCTTATCAAGTTTCAGAATCATTTCCTGTTTTCCATCTCCCAGATTTCTCCTCAAGTCATTATGCAGCTTGATTTCTCCCTCTCTTTTTTTTTTTTTTTTTAACAAGGTTTGCCATCTGTCAAAAGATCTTAGGGGAAAAACCCCAGTGTTTAGTGTAAGCAGTTAGTCCTTTTGACACGAAGATACAGTTTTTGTGCAGCGGCTGCTGAATAAACAAGCTTTCAAATGGTTTATGCCCAGATAGCAGCCGAGGCATGGGGTTTATCGCATGGCTCCTCAGACTTGTTTCCCATCTCTGCTATTGACAGGACTGATGAATTTCAAGTTGGAGGTGGCTACGAAATAACGAAGGAGATGAACACCTATTTTCCAGTCTTCTTAACAACAGTAACTTGATCAGTAATGTTGAGAATGTAACAGTAGGCTGCTTCCTTTTGTAGCTGAATTTAAACTTTGTTAATAGGAGGTGGTACTGGTGGTTTCACAGTAGTCACTCCTTGTTTATAAGTTGATCTAGGTTTCCTATACACATTTCCTATTTCGGAATTGGTAATTGGCATTTAGGACCTTAGAGAATCAGAAATTTTTGTCTGTTTGCCCATATTTCATTAAAAGAATTAATAAAGACATCCTGATTATCTGCCAAATTTCAAAGATATACAATAACTACTGCACTCTGTCTCTCTTCAGTACAAATACTTGTAAGTCTTATGTCGCAGCATTAACCACTTACATGCTCATGTAGGATGCTGTGCTGTCAAACTTCTACTAAGTCCCTATTGTGGATGACCATAAATACTTTGTTCAGCCTATATTAACTACTACATAATGATATCAGTAGGTGCAAAGAAAAGAGAGTGGAAAAGTCTTCTATAAACCATCTCCCCTGAAAAAACCCTTGACTATCCTATGGCTTTTATCCATATATATGTCTATTTGATGATGATTACATATATTTTTTTCACTAATATATTTGTCGAGCAGCCCTTCTATACTTTCTTCCATTAAGCCTCTTTATATCAGTATGCCAGGATAGTTGATTTCCTATCCTGTAGAGAAATCATATATTGGTATAAAGCTCTCTGTATGATTCACACAACAAGGAAGTATTACTTTGTACAGTTATAGTTAAAACTGCAGTTTTTATATGTAGATGAAGTCCTAATGGTGCGTTTATGCTGGAGTTTGAAGATGTAAAATTAGAAGGCATTAGTAACATGCTTTAAAAGTCTACTTCATGCAAGATGGCATACAGTCCTGCCTGGTTGAACTGAAACCTGACTAGACTAATTGCTTATTGGGTAGCCTCTCTTTCTCCGACTTTTAGAGCAGGTTAACTGACCTGTAATTCTTAGTGTAAATATAGTCTAGAACAGGGGTGGGCAAAATGCGGCCCACAGGCTGGATGCAGCCCACCAGGCCATTCTATCTGGCCTGCGGAGTCCCTAAAAAAATTTAGAAAATTAATATTTATCTGCCCCTGGCTGCCTGTCATGTGGCCCTTGATGGCTTGCAAAAACTCAGTAAGCGGCCCTCCGCCCAAAATAATTGCCCGCCCCTGGTCTAGAAGAGCCATGGAACTTTATAAATATTTAAATCAGCCAAGTATTGAAAGAATAAAACATATACATATATGCCTCTTTTTCAACAAGATCTCTTGAGGGTCTTACAGAAGTGTGTCCCACAATTTGTATTTGAAAAAAATATAGCTTTGTTAACTAATGTAGGATTAGAACCTCCATTGGATGCATGAAGATAATGTGTGGTGTCACATCTTTTTACTTTTGCATGGGACTCTTGGCTGTGTGTGAAAACATAAAAAGCATGTGAGACTGCAGTTCCATCTTGTTCTGGTTTATATTAGCAGACACCAATTGGTATCTGTTGGCTCATCTGAATTGTTTATGCTTAACCATTCCTTCAGTTAGGATTGCAAAGCTCTGAGCAGTTTTGTTGTTAAAAATAATCAAGTGGTAATGTATTTGATTTGTAAAGAGACTTGCATGCATTTTATTTTAGCCTTTGAAAAGTAACTTCCAACTAAACCAGTCTGTCAGTTCAGTGTTCAGGAGGTACCAGTGTCTCTATTTTTGTTTAATACAATAATTGTTCCTTTTCCAAATATGATGATGGAAGTGTAGTCTTACATAGAGATATTGTGTTTGAATATAAAACTATCTAATTTTAATGTTACTGGGTACATAAGGTATTAATATTTTTAATATTTAGGATACTTTTACATAGTAAATACTTCAGCATAGACTTGTATACTATTCTCATTTGGGGATTGTAGTTTGTAGTCCTTGTTGTAGTGCTGGCTTTTTATTTCCAGTTGATGCTGCAGTACCAACAGTTTTGTGGGGAAAGTTGAGTTCAATTGCAGAGTTGAAATTTACATATGTTTTTTGCATTGAAACAGGTTATGTTTGATTTAGAGCTTCCATTAACTGGAGGTCCTGTTCCTTTCGACACTTGAGCACTACTCGGCGGTCATCAAGTTTGTGTGTCTGGCTCTCAAGGATGCTGTCCAACTCTTGCTGCTCTCCTTTTCAGTGAGGACACTGGTTGCTGACACCATAGCACAGCTTCCTTCTATCTTCAGAGTGGGCGTTTTGTTTGCTGACCTAATAGAATGCTCAGTTTTAGAGGAAGAGAGCATTGTTTTCTTGAGACTCCTTCCAGTGCTGGAAGTTTGATACCTCATGTGCAATGTTTTCTCTTTTGTATAATCTGAGAATCTGAAACAACATACTCTCTTATTTTAATTTTTAACATTATCTGTGGGGAAAATGCTGTTTTAATAAGTAGAATGATAATGTTTTGAGCCCTTGCTGTTGATGGTTATTGTCATTTGCATTCTTGGAAGTACCCACTTATTCCAAATGCAGAGTATTCTGGATTTAGCACGCTCAACTTTTCTGCAATTAATATATAGTCGTGATACTTTCCAGAGGGAGACTTGTCTCACTTTCAGGTTGTTGTCTGTGAGTTAGAACCTTGTAGCAGGAGGGTTGAAGTGTGAATGTTGGCACTACTGGACTCTGAGGAGGTTGATTTTTTCCAACAGTTTTAAAGATAAGACGTTATGTTGAATGCATTATTAAACTTCTGCAATACAGAAGGAGGGTTCTTCATCAGTGTCTCACCCCCAAGTTAGCAGATATTGCTTATATGAAGGTATTCTGTGCAAGTACTGGCATATGCTCTATTTTAATGTATTTGATTCAAATGACTTTCAAATGTGCGTGATCGATGCACTTAAAGCTGTGTGGAAAACTAATAACTGATCAAATTGTAAATTGCCTTGATTAAAATACCGTTTTATAGAAGACACCTTTTCCCACGATTTTGGCAACTTGATATTTTTCCAGAATTTTTTTTTTAAGACAGAGGGTATATGGGGGAAATCAGCGGGGTATAAAATTTGAGAACTTCTGAAATGTCATATCTTAATTTCCAGGTGCATATTTCAAGGCTTTTCTGCAGATGTTTTGCTTCTGCTTTGGTGCACATTTGCACTACTTCTGTTGGAGTTAATAGCAATGGGAAGAGAATAAGCTCATAACATATGACATCTTTAAAAACTTGAAAGCACAGTCCTCCATTGTGGTTAGAACAGTAAGTTGGATTGAAGGTCCTGGTTGTGTGGGAAGAGATGTGCAAGCAGACACATCTCTTCTAAGAAAAACTGATTAACTTTTGTGGGGCTCCCTGTAGACATGGTGGTCCACCCACATGAAACTCATTGTAGGGTTGCAATTAAACTCTCTCCAATGAGGTTTCTCCTTCATCTGCTTGTAATTTTTTTTTAATGCTCTAAGTAATTGGTTTCACTATCAACAATCTGTTTTTTGGCTAGCAACAGGTTAGAGAGTTGAGTGATGAAACTTCAAGGATTTAAACGCATGTAATGTGTGTCCTTAAACTATTAAAACTGTTTATGAAATGGAATATTTGGTGTATGAATGGTGCTGCTTCTGAAAGCATTTTCCCCCCTTTTTATGCATGTGCTAGGTTTTTTCAGAGCCTACTGTTAAAGCTATATAATAGTGTGGACTGAGATATTTTAAAATGCATCTTAGTCTTAACCAGCGTTTGTTTGGTTTTATACTATGAAGAAGATGGAATTCAAAGAGCTCTGATAGTTAACTCTATGAAAATGAATTA